GAATTGATAATGGATTTATGATGGATTTGTCACATAAGCAACTAACAACCATCATGGATTTACAAATCCCAAACAAATATGTGGGATTTACAAGTCCGTGGGGTCCACGGATTTGGTCCCAAATTAAAGACCAAATCCGTGGACCCCACGGATTTGATACCCATCAACAAACAATGGACTTGTGTTAAATCCATCAAACTTGGGATTTAGGTACCAAATCCATGACCCAAATCCAACAAGCAAACGACCCCTAAGTTGCAATGCATTCTAGATTGCAGTCATTTGAAGTTAAAGAAGAGATGGCGGTAGAGGCCAAAATCCCTGGAATCTGGCAGTAGATGTAAGAATTCCAAGAAGCAGGTCATTGTACCTCAAGAATTCCACTTTGACATGTATGTAAGAACTCCACCTCTATTACTTAAGCTTATAACTTTAGTAGGAAGTTTTAGTTTAGCATGGCAAAGGTATTTTTTTTTGGTTTAACTGTTGCTTTCCAAGAAATTGGCGGAGCAAATGCTTTATTCTTTGATTTAGAGTTTGACCTCTATACTGCTTCTAAAACGCGAACATTGTTTTTGTTTTACTTCCATATGCTTGATAAGTCTAGGTGTTAAAATTTGAATGATGCTGGGCCTTTTCAGAACTAAAAAATGATGTCGATGGGCTGTTGCTATTGTTCGTAGAAATGAAGAGCTTGTTTATATGAACGAGGACATGCTCTAAATTCAGGTGATATGCCCTTTTCTTGGTTTCTTTTCTGTCCAATCTATGTTTACTTTATACTGGCTCTTTCTATAAGAAAGGATTTCAATTGTTTCTTTTTGTCATCGGCAGAAGAAAATGTTGATGGTGAACCATTGAATGATGGACTATTGGCAACTATAAAGAGGGTACATTTTGTAGTGTTTGCATTTTGTTCATCTTAAGTTAGTTATAGATGCAATTGTATGAAATAGTGAGGTTATTCTTAGTGATGACATAACAATTTTTTAAAGACGAGATGTAACATGTACACTTTCTTACTATAATTCAATTTAAATTTTTAAATGGTGCATTTTAATGACCAAACTCTCATGAACGAAATTGGTCATATAAAATGATTTATTTTGTCGGCTTATGTGTTTCCGCAACCAATTTTTATGGTTTTGTAACGCTTTCATAATTAAAATAATTAGTCGCAAAAATTGACATGATTGGTTGGCATATGTATTTTTTACAACCAAATTTTAAGGTTGACTTATAATTCTATACCTAAAACATTTGGTTGTCAAAATGGTTTAATTGGTTGAGTTACATGTTTTTCACGACCAAATCTCAAGGTTGTTTTACATTTTTATGACAAAAATATTTAGTCGTTTAAAATGATATAATTGGTCGGCATATGTATTTTTCACGACCAAATTTTATAGTTGTATTAAAATTTTATAACCAAAATTATTGGTTGTCATAATGATATTATCGGTTACTAATAGTCACACAAAATGGTTGTCATTAGTATTTATGGCGACCAATCAACTACATTTTGCAACCAAAAGTATGGACTATGACAACCAAATAATAGTCACAAAAAACTAAGAGTTTTAGCATTGGCAGAATGGGTTGGGATAGCCTGATTTTTCGCAACCAATCATTATTTTGGTTGCATTAGGAATTCGTAACGCGGCTATAGCGACCAAATCTGCTACCAAATATATTTGGTTGCGAAAATGTATCGATAACCATTTTTTGACTTTTAGGGACCATATATTTTGGTTGCAAAAAGCCATTTTTCTTGTAGTGTGTTATCACACTATCATCTCCCAACTTGTAAAGTTGCAACTTACAAGTACGTACGTATATATATATATATATATATATATATATATATATATATATATATATGGGTCACACTCGTATGCTCCTGACGCATATTATGCTACAGTTTTTCTACACCGTTGATCCAATCTAACGGCGTTTATTAATTATAATTAAATTATATTTAATTTTACAATTTTAAAATGATTAATTAGTCCTATTACATTTTCATACCTACTCTGTAACCGTTAAACAAACTTTTCACATATTTTAGTATTATAGTACCAAATTCTATTCTAATCATATCTCCAATCATTAAGTTACGTTTACTTTCAATCTTAGTTGGGTGATCTATTCTTTGTGCTCTATTCTTTTCAAGAACGTCGTTTTTCTGATTTTGCCGGGAACTCGTCGTCACTCCTCTTCTTCCCCGCTATCTCCCTCTGTAAACTGCAGTTTATCTGCTTCGATACTCAATTCCGGCCAGGAGAATCCCGCCAATGAGAGGCGCGCTCCTATCTTCATTGCAGCCTATGCTCGAATCCCGCTGATGGACAGAATAACCTCTTCCTTCTCAAGTCAAACCCATTAAACCCCACCGCCGACGTACGCCTCCATCGAATTGCACCCTATGCTCGAAAATTCTGACCAACTGAACCCCTCTCCACCGGAGCTCGGGTGCCGCTCTATGACCTGCTGCTAGAGCAATAGATGAATCTCTGATTCATTAATCATTCGAGGCAAATTTATTCCCTTGGTGATGACGGAGTAATTAGGTATAGGTGGGTTCCTTGATGATCATGGTGAAATTAGGGTTTCATTGAGTGCTGATGTTATTCGGTGCAGATGGTTTCTATTGATGATGATGGCCTTCCAAATGGGGTCCGTATCATGTTAATGTGGATGTTTTCTTGATTTTTTTTTCTGGGTTAATGATCGATCCATCTTCATAAATTTAATGGACAAACAATCGTGAATTATATATAATTTTTGGGGTTGAATGATAAGTGTCTAAGAAATAAGGTAGTATAATACAGTATGTAGTAGTAAACATTGTTGATGGATTACATTGCACGTATAATTATTTAAAAGGTCATGTTAGTAATTATATTTGTTAGTAAATTAATAATTTTATTATAATTAATACAGACCGTCAGATTAGATCAACGAACTAGAATTCTGGTGCATGCTATGCGTCAGGAGCATACGAGTCGTATCCATATATATATAGTATACATATGTATAGTTGTTTTCTAGCTCCTTGCTAAGAACTTGCAAGTCAACATACATAATACATAATATGGAGGTTATTCCTTACACGTGAAGTAATTATGGTTCCAGTTCAGATCAAAACTAGTAAAAAGAATTAAGTTTTGTTGCTACATTGCATTTAAGTAAACAAAGAAGAAATTTTGTTCCACCTTCTGTGCTGATCTCAACAAAATTAACGTTTATAGTGAAAATTTACAAAATTGAGCAAGGAATTCAACGAGGTAAACAGTAAGAAAGAGACCTCTTAAATCTTAACACGGAATTATGGCTTACTTTTTTAAACTTGCCAGTTGCCATCCTTCATGCTTATCCTACCATGTAATGCTATTACTTACTAGTTAATTAGCCCATGCTACGCATCGGGTTTCGCTTTGTAATCCGTTTGTCCTATTGATAATATAGAATAATATAATTTGACCATGGTAACGGAATTGCAGCCTTCGTTTTGTCGTGGGCATATTGCATACTTAATTACATTGATACGGTATAGACTTTAATGTTGTAGAAATTGTTATTCATAGCCTTCGTTTTGCCGTGGGCATACCGCATACTTACTTGTGGGTATCGGTCGATTCGATCCAGAGCCGGTTCGAATTGAGATAGGGACAAACAAAATCGAAGGAAAAATAAAAACCAGAACCAGATTAAAATTTGTTTGGTTTATTTGGTTCAATTCTGTCTAAGTTCAATTTCAATCCATTTATTCTTCATGCTAAATATAAATCATAAGAGAAAAAAAAATCGAATCGAAATATATAATATCCAACCCAATTCGTTCCAAATATTGATTTAATTCATGAACCAGATGGTTGCCCACCCCTAATAGTACCCACTACAGAAAAAGGAAATATATTTAAAACTAACCCTATTTTTATTAAGGAATGGTGATTGTTTTACGTAATGGATTTGTAATGCGTAATCTTCTGTAATATGAAATAAAAAAGTACCTAGAGTTGACTACACGGGAAAAGAGTTTATGGTGAAATTAGGTGTAGGATATAGAAATACAAAAAAAAAAAAACCCCGACTATATGAGAAGACATAGTCTATGATAAAATTGGACATACACGCACTTCACGACGATAAGGAACTAACTATATTTAAATTTCATCATCTATTTAATGATTTAGTTGAAATCAAATAATTCACAAAATAATTTGGGCAAGATACTTCCACAAAGTTCCGTTACCACAATTCAAGTCAACCCCCTCGCTCGTTCAAATTTTTAGCTTGGTCACAATTGAAAAGAATCACATTTGATTAAAAGCTTTACATAATATATTTGTACTATGGTCTAATCATAAAATCAAGTTAAAAAAGTATCAGATTTGATTAAGATGTTAAGTAAAAGTTAGATTACCTTAAGATCTTTGTGTCTCCCCATTTAACTTCTGTATAATTCAAATAATAAAGATTGGGTTTAGGAAATTATCCTTATTATTGCTTGGGCTTACCACTCGAAAAGGGAAGGAAAAATCACAATGTCAAAAGAATGGATAATGAAGAATTGATGATTTTCTAGCCCAAAGTGAGTACTCGTGGAGCACATATATAAAAGTGGAGTTGCCATAGCAAATCCATTCCCAAACACTCAGAGAATTAATCCTAATGAACAGTAATCTGGATTATTCGGTTACATACGGCTTAATTATATAATAATAATAATAATATTAATTAGATTATTCCGGACCTCCTCTTCTCTGCAAAGTTGGGAATCTACTTTGTCAAAGGATACGCAATTCGGCCGGCAATTAAAGAAAGTTGAGATCGTCATTGGACATCTGTATCAATTGGCAAGTAAAATGTCATGACCACGATGACCTACAAAATGATGCATTTATATCACCTCCTTCCAATCCCATTAAATTCAGATCAACAGAGACCAAAATGATGCATTATATCCCGTTAAATCCACTACATCTAAAGCTGCTGAAATGGATTTCTTCCCTCCATTCCTGAAAACCATAACCATAGCTACCGTCCTTGTTCTTCTTGTTCTTTCTTACCCTCTCTTCTTCAGGAGACCCAAATCAAGAACAGGCAAACAACTTCCAGAAGCAGGGAGATCATGGCCTGTTATAGGCCACCTGTTGTCCTTGGCAGGAACTCAGCTTCCCCACCTGAAATTCGCAGAGCTGGCTGCTAAATACGGCCCGATTTTCATCGTCAGGATCGGTTTGTACCCAACCCTGGTCGTCACCACTCCAGAGCTGGCTAAAGAACTCTACACCACCCACGATGCATCCATATCGTCGCGCCCGGATCTCACTGCTTCCAGGATTCTGAGCAACAACAGGGCCGACTTTGCATTCACTCCGTACGGTGACTATTGGCGCCAGATGAGGAAGATTACAGCCCTGGAGCTGCTCTCCAGCCGCAGGCTGGAGCTGCTGAAACACGTCAGGATTTCTGAAGTGGGAGGGACCATCAGGAGTCTCCACAAACTGTGGGAGAAGAACGACAAGGACAGAGTCTGTGTTACGATGAATAAGTGGGTTGGGGACATGAATTTGAATGTTATACTCGGGATGGTGGCAGGGAAGAGGTACTACTTCGGCCATGATGGATTTGCAGAGGCAGAGAGATGCAGGGGATTGATGAGAAAGTTCTTTCATTATGCAGGGCAGCTTGTTGTGAGAGACATGTTTCCATTCCTAGGGTTTCTGGATATAGGAGGACATGAGAAGACCATGAGAAGAGTGAATGGAGATTTGAACAAACTTGCGGAAGAATGGATCGAGGAGCATCGAAGCAAGGGAACGACTTTCTGTGATGATGGTGAACAAGAAGAAGACTTCATAGATGTTTTGCTCCGTGTCCTGAAAGATGCAGACCTTGCTGGATATGATCTCGATACAGTTTGCAAATCCACAATCATGGTATTGAAAGTTTTTAACATCTTATCTGCATACTAAAACACAAATCCATTTAACTGATGGATTCTCAATTTTGTCTGTTGTTTGTGGCAGACACTGATTGTTGGAGGAACTGATACAACAACCGTGACTCTAATCTGGGCTCTTTCCCTGCTTCTGAACCATCCAAGTACCTTAAAAGAGGTGGTAGATGAGCTTGATATGATTGTTGGTAAGGAAAGAGTGGTGGATGAATCAGAAATTTGCAAGCTTCCTTATTTCCAAGCCATGATGAAGGAGGTAATGAGGTTGTACCCAGCAGCTCCATCTGGAGGTCCACGAGAATTCTCAAAGGATTGCATTGTCGCCGGGTACCATGTTCCAGCTGGGACTCGGCTATTGGTGAATGTTCACAATGTACAAAGGGATCCAAGGGTTTGGCCAGAGCCAATGGAGTTCAAACCAGAGAGGTTCCTCACGGCAGGGTACAAGGACGTCGATGTGAAAGGGCAACACTTTGAGCTCATCCCATTTGGTGCTGGAAGAAGGTCGTGCCCTGGAATCAACTTTGGCATTCAAATGACTCAACTGGCTCTGGCGAGATTCCTGCAAGCGTTTGATATCTACAAACCGTCAGATGCACCGGTCGATATGACTGGTGCACCTGGACTGACTGTCAGCAAAGCCATCCCACTTGAAGTCTTGGTTCGGCCCCGCTTGCCTGCATACCTCTATGAACTAACGAAAAATGCTTGAAATGCAAAACTCGTAAGAGTCTGCTAATCAAGATCTCAGTTGGGATATGAAAGAATAAATGCATAATGAGTTGCGTTGTTTTTCTTCACTATAAAGCGTATTATGTTTGTCTACAGTAAATGCATCAATCTAAGACTCAAAGAAGAGCATAACTAAAAATCCTGAGGTTTCAAGTCAAGTATTTTCATATCCCAAGCTTAGGATAGTAAAAACTACAAATCATGAAGTTGTCCGGGAGGGCATTTGGATATCTAGCATTTGTGAAATGGATGAAATATAAGGCAAATAACACTATCTTTATCGTAATTGCCTTTGTTTTGCATGTTCATATGAACTTGAACAGTTATCCAATAATCATCTGTATCTACATTGCGTAAATACATACGAAATTCTTACAATACCGTCACCATAATTAAAATAATTTCAACTTTCTATGTGTTATAGTAGGTTTAACAATTGTATTACTTAAAATGCAATGGTCATTATGCAACATTTATGGTATGCTTTATAAGATTTTTAGTCTACTTTAGGTTATTTATTGTGTAATTTATTATGTTTCTAGCCTGTGTTCTGTGTTATGCTTCATGATACCTGTGGTCAAAGTTGGATGCGAAATAAATGAGCAGCTCCTCACACGTGTGCCCACTATGATTTTTTAAAATGACAAGCGTGACCCTCTCTTTACAAATCAACATTAAGTGTGGTCAACTCTTTAGAAATAAAAAAGTCATGATCAAAACGAAATTTCCGTATTAGCTGAAACTAGTGTTAGCACCATATTAAAAAATTGCGTGTTAGCTCCCTAACCTTGGCCTAAGTAAGACAACTTTAAATTAATGTGTGAATGCTAAATAGATCTACCAAATGGGTGAAGACTATTTTATAGTGTACCTTATTACCACCAATATTTTTATTTTTTGCCGTCAACTTTTCGATTATATACCTTGGTGAATTTTATTTAAATATGACTAGAAAGGATCAAATATGCATAACTTCTTCACATATCCAACTCTTCCAAGTTCCAACATATAAAATTCAAAAAATCAAAGTTCGCCGGAAATCGACCAAAAAGGTTAAAGTTGTCGGATTGTTTTCCATTTTCCCTCCAATGCCTTATTTGCCGCCACCAACCGGGTATTTTGCAAGATTCTATCATTGCGTGATTTTCCAACTAGTTTTGGTTGTGACCTGCGGGCTGATAAAAAAATGGCTAAAACTAGGTCCGACCAAAGTAAACTGCTTGATAGAGTCAGAACGGGTCGAAGCATTCAGCCGGACGGTGCCTGGATGAATTGAAAACATCCGACGACCGTTACCAAGCATGGCCGACATAATTCTTCGGCCTGGCCTGATTCTGGCCCTCAAATTTTTGGGTTCGTTCTGGTTCTCCCCGCCGACTTTCCCCCATCTCGACTATGTTTCAACTTTATTTTTTTAGTATTTAAATTCATTAATAACTTATATTTAATGTTTAATTATGATTATTACCCGTATAAATTATGTTAGATGCTTTAATTTAGAAATAAATTATGTTTAATTATGATAAATATGAATATTGATTAGTTAGTTGAATATACTTGGATTAGTAGTATATATGTGGATGTTGGACATATATTATTGTACATATGTGAATGTTCTAGCTAGTCAAATATATTTGAATGAGTAGCATGTGAAAGTATGAATCTTGATGTGTAATAGTCATATCAAAATTGTAGGGAAAATGTTGGAGATGTGAGATATGATACTTTGTTAATCGACTCCATTATACATCCTTCGAATAAGTTGAGCAAGCAACAAAAAGCATCGTCGAATCACATTGTTTCTTTATTATAAGGGTAAAAGAAAATCGTACCTAGTTGAAAGTCATATTACATGTATTGTGATACAACTAGCAAGATTGTTAAGTCATACAAGCCAGCCCCTACGGAGTAGCAACATGAAAAATACTAGCTCGATGAGAACAAATTGTCTCTTCCAGGAAATAACTAAAGAAGTGTTTCAAAAAGATGGCTCAAAGACATTTATCTTACAAGAGGAGCCATCACAACAAACTAGGATGAATTGGGGGGGGGGGGGGGGTTTTCACAACATATGGTATCTTCTATGCTTGTTAGGTCATTGAGGCTAGGGATGTTGGTAGTATGTTCTTTGCAGAGGAGCTTTATGTATTTTGCCGAACTTTGGACTACACCGATCCCCCAAACCAAGATCAATTTGTGGATCTTGTTGAGTTTGAGCTTCAACACTTCAAGTGTCTGGCCGTGGAAATGGAGCAGCGAGGTACTGAAGTAGTCAAAAAGCTAGAGACTATGCTCTACGGACTTCACCAGCAGAAGAATACATGGGAGAACCAAAGGTGAATGAGAAAAGAAAGGGTTCACCCCAATCTAGGACCAAATGCAAACCTTAGTAATTCGAGCAGCTAAACATAAGTCCACCCAACTCTAGGCGCATCAAGTCAAGGTCTACTAGAACCAAGATAGTAGACTTCAGATTTTGCATATGATGCACACAATGATAATGAGTATCCAGGTTTGTTTTCTCTATCCTATTTTTTGTGTTCGTCATACATGATCATCATCTTTTGGATGATGAATTTTACTATGATTTTATTTCTTTGTGGATGCAAGTTGGTAAACCTCACCCATGCAACAAAAATACCCTCATATGGATCTCATTTTTTCATTGATTGTGCGATATTTAGTGACATGCTATTTCGACCAAGCCAAGATAGACAATACAAGTTTCGAGAACTTGCCCACTACCTATGGATGGACAATACACACGTCTTGGGTATCAGAGTTGAGCTTGCATATGATATATCACATAATGGTATGAGAACTTATATCCAATATAAGCTAAAGGTGGTAGATGAGAAGCCTTAGTTTACCGCATCAACTATCAGCAACCTTTTCGAGCTCCTCAGAGATACTGGATCGATTCTTAGGACTTATTCGTACCAAATTATAGTCGTCATGTTCTCGTATCAACATTTCATCCCCAACTATCTCAATCAGCGGGATGTCACATTTCAACCATATCTTACGCTGTATTGCCTCTAGATACGAAGGAAGGAAACACTCAACCAGGAGGGTTCGTAGCACTCCACTTTGCAGAACACCATTATATGAGCCTATTGTTGAAATATGGCAAGTCTGATTTGCCAATTCTCAAGACCTTGCAGATTGCTCCAAATAAGGGAAGTGCTTCAATCAAGGAGATCTTCTCCAACGGTGTGCATTCAGCAACTCAATTCCAACGGCTAGCTACTCAATTCCAATGGCTAGCTTGATTTCCTATATATTCAGAGGAAGGCTTCTGCGATATGCAATTTTGTGGGAAACAAAGAGAGGGGTATAGGTCTGTGCTTTGAGTTACAGAAGGGTGAACAGTACAGGGGTAGAGGTTCTATACTGTGGTGGCTGAACTGGGTCGGGTAGTGATTCAGGGTGTTTTCGATTTATCCTTTGTTCAACTGTGTCTTTTGTAATCGTGTCCTTTTTGATTCAAATAAATAGAGTCTCCTGGGGTCTGTGATCCTGGGATGAGGAAGTAGCCATTGCAAAAGGGTGAACCTCGTTAAAAAGATCGTGTGTTCTTCTCTTCCCTTTACTCTGTCTTGTTACTCTGCTGCCTTCTTCATTCTGCAATTCGTGTTCTTCAGAGAAGAACAAAGCTGTTATGATTCTAAAGATCAGGGCTTAATTGATCTCCAGCCCGCATTCTTTAGTTATTGGGTTTCTGGCCCATTTGGTCGTTTTGAGCCCACTCGAGAATTGAGGTCTTGAGACTAGGTGCTTGACTTTTCAGCCATCCCTTGTCGAGGCATCCTCCTCAATTCACTTCTGCTCAAATCAAATCCCCAAATTCTCTTGTTCGCCTCTTTCCTGCTAACCCTAATTCGATTTCAATTGGTATAAGAGCTCTGCCTTGACGAAGCTCACTGCTGCCAAGGTAATCGGTCTAATGGCTCCAAGTTCATTCGGGCAAGCTGCTCTCAATCATCCACCCATCTTCACAGGGTCAAACTATACAGCCTGGAAAAAGAGGATGAAGCAGTTTATGTGGGGAGTGGATGAAGAATTTTGGTTGATTGTCCAGGACGGTCCCATTCAGATGGACCTGGATGAGCAAATAATGTGGTCCGCAGCCCAGAAGAAGAGTGCACAGTTCAATCAAAGGGCGATGCACGTTCTTCAGGCAGCGATGAATCCAGACGAAGCTAACCAAGTTGAAAACTGTGAAACAGCTCAAAAAATCTGGCAAGTTTTGGAAAGCACCTACGAAGGTACCTCTAACATTAAAGAATCTCGTATAGATTTATTGATGCATGATTATGAGTCGTTCAATATGCTTGAGGGAGAGGGAATACATGAGATGTATTCTCGATTCACAATTCTTATCAATAAATTGAAAGGTTTAGGTAGGTCATTTCAAAGTAAGGATATGAAACGAAAAATTCTTAGATCTTTGCCCAAGGATTGGCTACCAAAACGTACCGCTATTGAAGAAGCTAAGAATCTATCTACTTTGCCTACTAATGAACTGATAGGATCATTGCTAAGTCATGAACATGTTCTTAGACAGGTAGGGCAAGAAGATGAGAAAAGAAAGAAAAACTTAGCTTTCAAATCCAGAACTGCTGAATATGATTTAGATAGTGAAAGTGATTTTGAAAAGGAATTTGCTTTAGTTAGCAAAAAATTTCATCGTATGCTTAAATATAAAAATCAGAAACGCCAGTCAAATGATAGTAAGCAGGTGTATTTTGATCATAACAAGAGTGGTTTTCAAGAAAGGCTGCCTCAACAGCAGACCAGATTTTTTGAGATAGGTCAGCAAGACAGGGAATCTCAAGCTTGCTACAAATGCAGAAAATTAGGCCACATCAGGGCTCAGTGTCCTCAAACCTTAAGAGCCAAGGAGAAAGCAATGAAAGCTTCATGGAGCGACTATGACTCAGAACCAGAAGCATCAAAGTCTGATGAAGAAGCTTTTAT